AACTTTACATTAGGGCACAGAACTTCTTGGGCATGACTTCCAAACTTTACATTAGGGCACAGACCTTGGTATGCGAGTAAAGACCACACCATTTAGGAATGTCTTTCATGTCATTTACGAGGGGAAGAGACCAAGGGGAATGTGTCGTATCATTTCTCAGGGTCCCCGACATAATCGGACCTTTGATCTTATTGATAATTGTAAGAACCCTCTAAGTCTAAGGTCTGTTGAGTTGTCTTTATACATATACCACACTAGAATGATAATGTTCATTTCCTCCTACACATTCACTGGCTAATAGCTTTGTGTATACACACACACACACACACACACACACAACACCTACAACAGGCCTAGTGTCTAATCGACATGTGCCTAGGACAAAATGGTAACTAACATTATATATATAATCTTCATTCGTTATGTTCAGACAAAATTTGATTTTGCTTATTCGGCAGAATAGATAATCCAGTCGAGCTTCTCTCCAAATTGTGGGATTGTTGTGTATTGTTCCAGCTACAGCATTGTGATTTTTTTCTCCCTAAAAGCAGCTACATTTGAGATAGTTCTGAGCAGATAGTCTCGATATACACTGTAATGAAATCTGTGTTTTCACTGTGCTGGTTACCTAGCTGATTACACTGACTTTACACAGAGAACGTCACAGTGATCAGGCCCTGATCCATCGGGAGGCCTGGTCATGGACCGGGCCGCGGGGGCGTTGATCCCCGGAATAACCTCCAGGTACCTCCAGGTAACCTCCAGGTGATTGATACCAGCGCTCTAGTTGTCTCTCTTCCATCAAGTAAACTTACTTTCAACACACTTTTACACCTTGTTCATGTCTGTCCTGATCCTTTGCTTCAGGTGATGGTGAGGAAGGAGGTGCAAGTGAGACCGGAGGGTGTAAAGCAGGTGCTGTAGTTCACCTGTACACCCGTCACCGACCACTCTACATGCTACCCACCCGTCACCCACCACTCTACATGCTACCCACCCGTCACCGACCACTCTACATGCTACCCACTAGTCTCAATCAATATAACTTCAATTTAAACTTCGGCTTTCCCTCCTTCCCTATTTCCCTTACTTCCTCTTCTCCCTACCTCCCCAGTACCTCTCTTCCCTCCCAATCCCACCCTCCCTCCCTCCCTATCTCTTCTCTCTCTCTCAGTGCCTCTTCCTCCCTGGTTGTTTCCCTCACTCCCTCTCTATCACCACAGTGTTGGCACTAGATTCTTCTAACGAATATTTAGTTTACTTAAATAGTTCTCACAGAGACGACCTCGACTAAAATATCTTTAATATTTTCCTAACCTTCATAGCTCAGTGGTTCTAAATAAATCAAGTAAATTGCTGTTCATTATTATGTGTGTTCAAAACAACTTTAGCAGTAATATAAGACGATCTTGAGAAATTTTGTTTGTAATATGTAAAGAAAAAGAACTTTTAAAGACTATTAATTAAGTATAATCTAAGTTAGACAATCAAATATGGTATATTTCCACTGTGGTGTCAGTCACCTCTCTTCCCCAGTCGACTAGCTCTTAAGTATCTATATACTACTAGGTAAACAGGATTAGCAGGTGTAGGGGGACTTGCAGTCTAGCTTCGTCCGGAAATTTAACCCGGGTCCTTTGGGCTGTGATCCGAACGCTCTAAGAGTGAACTGACTCGCATCACCATAAGCTGTGATGGTGCAGGTGTCTAGTGATGTAGGGGCGAGGATGACGCTGTTGTCCACGAGGTTGTCTCAGCGTGTTTGTTTATATAGCGAGGCCATCTGTGCTTGTGTTAAGTGTGTTGTCGGTGGATGAGGTACTGGCTGGCGCTATCCCTTGCCTCCTGATACTCCTGGGTCCCCTGCAGTGGCTGGCACTAATTCTTGCCTCCTGGCATTCCCGAGCCCCCGGCTGCTTCACCACCGCTAAAACCCAGTTGCTCTTGCAGCCTGGTGGTGGTGGGTGTGGCGGCGCAACCTTACGGTGGAGTAGAGTGTGATGGTGTATAGTGTTGACGATGGTGAGGCAGAACCTTTAATGTTGTGCAATGTGTTATGGTGAAGGTGGTGACTTTGTGGGTGGTGACGAATTATTTCAGGGGATTAACATTTTGCATGTTGCGATCTGCGTTTATCTAGTGTTGTGGAAAGTCAGTTGTCGGGTTGACCCAAATAACATAAGTTGTAAACCACTTAAACAACACGAACAGATAGCGGTATATTCACAACGAGGTAAATAACATTATCTGCTTATTACATAAATAATTCGAACATATAAGAGCACATACCTCATGTACAACAAAGTCCCCAGTATCAAAGTTGTGCAAAACAATACACTTGTGTTTCGAAAAGCGATAAGTCCAAGGGAAAAAGACTTAGTATTCATGGCGGAGCTAGCTATTAATCCAGTCCATCATCTTTAAAACAGACTGTATTTCACTGCTGCTAAAACAGTCGAGTGATTGACTGATAAACTAATCATAAACACTGATTAGCAATTACAGCTCCTAGCTAGGAACATGGGCCCCCTAGCTAGCAATAATATATTAAACACAATGCCTTCTCCAATCCAACTACATAGCCTGTAGACCCCAGTCACGGAATCAGAAACAGACGGGAGTGCCTCCTAGGCCTAAGATTGAGCTGAAACACTGGGTTCCACTCTGCTCTTGTTTACATAATACGTGGATTTAGAGATTAACGTGTATGGGTCACAGAGTGGCGGGTGCAGGCGGCCCCGGATGACGAGGTCAAGGGTGGCACTCCAGAGAGTTCATTGTTACCATGAATAATGTGTGTGTGTGTACTCACCTAGTTGTACTCACCTAGTTGAGGTTGCGGGGGTCGAGTCCGAGCTCCTGGCCCCGCCTCTTCACTGATCGCTACTAGGTCACTCTCCCTGAGCCGTGAGCTTTATCATACCTCTGCTTAAAGCTATGTATGAATCCTGCCTCCACTACATCGCTTCCCAAACTATTCCACTTACTGACTACTCTGTGGCTGAAGAAATACTTCTTAACATGTGTGTGTGTGTGTGTGTGTGTGTGTGTGTGTGTGTGTGTGTGTGTGTGTGTGTGTGTGTGTGTGTGTGTGCTGTAAAGAAAGAATTGATTATTCAATATAAAATAGCTACATATATATTTCTACATTTGACGAAGAAAACATCATTGCTGACAAGACATCGCAAAAAAAAAAATTAATTAATGCTTATGTGCAGAGCTAAACCAGTGTGGCTCGATCCTCCCTCCGTCAAGGGACAGACACATAACCTAGTATGCGCGATACTGGTATAGTGGGTTACAGTGTGGTTGGTTAGAGTTAACCTGTTGCAAAGTGTTAGACGTTCTTTAGTTTGTTTATACCCTTGGCCAGTTGCGGACTCCTTACTGGAGTCGTATACTACTAGATGGGTCTAGTGAACGTCCTGTATAATACATTAAATAAATCTTTGGTAAGGTTCTTGTAAGCAGGCTTTTGGTTAGCTAGGTTCGCATATGCTGCAAGTGGTTTATACTTCTGACGATATGCTTAGTGTGAATATTACTCTCAGATTTTTTTCTTAATTGTCGTCAGCAGTATCGTTTCTGTTTTTCTCATTACTTCGTACTTGTCGGGGCTGAATCCAAGTAACCACTTTCCCGAACGCTAATACATCCTGTTGAAGCCGTCCTCGCCACTTGTCAACTGTCCTTATTAATTTTATATCGTCTTCAAACATTGTTGTATATAATTCAGTTTCCTTCGTCAGGTCAACAGCCGAGGCTCCAGCAGTGAACCTTGGCAAGAAGGCACAAGGTTCCTCTCATAACCTGTTCCCACTCTGATACACTTTGTTTTCTTACAATTAATCTCGTTTCTCTTCACTAAGTATTCCTCTCTCCACTTGAGCACCTTCCCTGTTATTATTGTCTCTTCTCCAAATACTCAACTATTCTCTTTCTCAGTAGTTTCCTAGTTCCTTAGCAAATACGCTAGTTGCCTAAACTAGTGTATAGCTTAATGCTTCCTGTCTATTCCCCTTCTTATTAGAATCATATATTGCAGTTTTCCAGATACCTGGCACTTATTTCTTTTCCATGGACTTATCCCTGCTGAGGATTGCAGATTTTTCCGCAGCTTCTCGCAATACTCGGTGCGACATCCTGTCCCGTCCCATTTGCTCTCGTTATTTCTAAATACCTTAAGAAATCTCTAAACTCCTGCTTAGTCGCTAACATTTCTTATATCTTAGTCACTGACATTTCTTATATCCTAGTTGCTCGGTCCTCTTCTCTCCTACCCTCCTTGTGTCTCAAGATTCTTCAGTAATCAATTCCTCACGTAGTTCCCTATCATCTTTTATTAATTCACTCTCACCCTGCTCTACCCCACTCCTTCCATTATCTTTCTTTAACTTTTGTTTTGCCTATTGACATTTTCCGTCTAGGCAGCTGTACTCTTGGACTCGGTTTTTGGTTTCGCTGGTGTCATTTTCGAATTCCCTTCCTGGACCTAGACAAGCCAGTCCTAGCTTCTGCTTACTTCCTTATTTCCTACTGTTATCATTTTTTTCTCGGAAGCTTTCCTGTTATTTTACTCCTAACCTTTGCCTGATTGCGCTTCTCTACAAACCTTGTTTTATTATCTATACTTACTAGTACAAACTGGCGTTATCCTGGCATGAACAATACTCAAATAACCCTCACGTAGGAGAATGAAGCTTGTGACGATGTTTCGGTCCGATTTGTACCATTGACAAGCCACATGTGTGACTTGTCAATAGTCCAAGTCGGACCGACACGTCGTCCTAAGATTCTTTCACCTATCTGCGGGTTATTTGTGTAATGTCGTGAGTTACCTCTGTGTCACCTGGTGTAGTGACATGTCTGTGTGGGAGATGTTGGTCCCCTTCCCCTCCTACTACTGCCCATTTAAGACAACCTGTGTGTCAATCCCCGCCCCTTTTTTTGTCTACTTGAGAATCAGCATTCACTAATCCCGCCCCTTTCTGCCATTTCAGGAACGCGTGGGCGGCCACCCGTCCAGCCTGGGACCAATCACTAGCATCGGGGGCGTGGGCGGGTCGGCGTCCTTTGCCTCTACGCCCAGGATACACACGCCCACGACCGACTTCCAGCCGCCCTACTTTCCGCCCCCATACCTGGGTACAGAAAACCAGATGACGGTGAGTAGCCTGGCTGGCTGGCTGGCTGGCTGGCTGGCTGGCTGGCTGGCTGGCTGGCTGGCTGGCTGGCTGGCTGGCTGGCTGGCTGGCTGGCTGACTGGCTGGCCGGCTGGGGCATATCCAGGAAGGAAAATTTTTTCACTTAGTTTTTTTTATATTGCGAAATCAAGAAATAACACTCAAATACAGACACACACACACACACAGACACACACACACACACATACACACACACACACACACATACACACACACACACACACACACACACACACACACACACACTAAGGAGACAAGGTAATAGCAGCAGTGGTATGTAATTCATCAACAACAACGGAAGGTCATGGAAGAAGTATGATCACATGTTAGAAAAAGTAACAGAAAGAGTGAGAGTGAGAGAGAGAGAGAGAGAGAGAGAGAGAGAGAGAGAGAGAGAGAGAGAGAGAGAGAGAGAGAGAGAGAGAGAGAGAGAGAGAGAACCAAGTCCCAAATATTAACAGATTTTGACTATAAAGGAGGTTGACTGGGATAACTGGGGATCTTCCCTCATGGAGAACCAGAAACTTGGAGATCACAACATTGGGAAACATTAGCACAGAATTTTCTGGCGCAACACTTCTACCTGGTGTCCACTTAGAGGGAGTTCCAGGAGTTAATGGTCTCGCGGCCCTGTCCATGACCAGCCCCTCAAGGAAGGTTCCTTGATGTTGGTGAGGGGCTCTTGATTTAGGGAATTGGATCTGTGCTCCAGTTCCCCGAATTAAGTCTGAATGCCTTCCACATCCCCCCCCCCAGGCGCTGTATAATCCTCCGGGTTTAGCGCTTCCCCCTTGATTATAATAATAATGTCCATGACCAGGCTACATGGTGGATTAGGGCCTGATCAACCAGGCTGTTACTACCGGCCACACACAATCCAGCGTACGAATCACAGCCCGGATGGTCAGGTAATGACTTTAGGCATCTATACAGTTCCCTCTTGAAAACACCAAGCAACAAAAGTGAGAAAGGAAGATGAGCCAGCGAGACTTTGTCTAATTTTCAATCAAAATCAATTTGACATACCTAAAATTACTTATGGGGAAATACTGCTATTGTTGCTAGCGGTCATATTTTGAGTTCCTGGTGGAAATGGGCATGGATAAAGAAATTGAGGAAATTAGTAACAGGAAATGGGATTACAGAAGAGGAAAGACTCTGAGATAGCCTGAGAAATTTTCTGAGATAAGTGGACCTGGAAAGGAAGGAAAGTGGATGGTAAAGCTGCACAAGAAAGAATGGAGGTAGTAGAGTCAAAATGCCAAAAGGCAAAGGAAAGATTCTTACCAAGCATAAAGAACGGAAACGAGAAATATAGAGAAAGTGTTCAATCAGGACTCCCGAGGTGTAAGAGAGATTATAAGAAATAAAGAGGAAATCAAACTGCAGAAAATTGTGAAACAAGAAGGAAAGCCAACAACAAATACACGAGAATAAGAAGGGAATGTGAAAGTCGATTTCAAGATTATACAGCACCACGGGCCAAAAACGAACCGAAGTTGTTTCACAGCCACATAAAAAACTGGAAAAAAAGTGGTAAGACTGAAGGAGGACGGGACGCTGACGGAGAATAACAGAGAAGTATACTAAAAGCTTAGAAAAAAAAATCAAAGAAGTCTTCATAGAAGAAAGTAAGAGAACTACTGGAAGGTAGAGGGGAGATCAGCAGGTGCTAGATACCCTCATGACAACAGCAACAAAAAGCAGTAGAAATACTAAGTAAGTTTGATGTAACCAAATCAATGGAACCAGACAACACTGTTCCATGTGTACTGAGAGAAGAAACAAAGTCGTTGTGTGACTTAGTAGCGAAAGGTATACAACCACTTTCCCCAATCTGAGAAACTTCCAGATAACTGGAAGAAGGCAAATGTTGTTCCAGTATACAAAAAAGGGGACAGGCAAGAGGCATTCAACTACAGGCTCTACGATCAAATAATCTGGAGAAGATGCTAACGAAAATGATATTAGAACACTTGAAGTGTGAAAATTTTACCTATTGGAAACCAGCACAGATTTAAGGAAGGAAAATCCTTTCGTACAGATTTGCTGAAGTTCAATAAAAGAGTCATAGAGATCAAACAAGAAAGGCATGGCTACAAGGAGTGCTTTCTCTTAAATTACATTTGATACAGTAGCACACCAGAGTGATCTCTGGAGGAACAGGCAGGATTGAAAGACATAATGCTCCAGAAGGCCCGAGAGCACCTGAATAACCGAAGGCAGAGAGTAAAAGAAAGGGATGTGACATCAGAATGGATGTGATTAGAAAATTAGGTTTCTCAGGGATCAGTACACTGCCAGTACTCTTCCTAATATACGTAAACGACCTATCAGAGAAAATGGAGTCCAGTGTGTCACTGCGGATGATGTAAAACTATTGGGAAGAATGAGAACAGAAGTAAAACGATAACCCCCAGGAAAACCTCGACAACAGACTATAGATGTGGTTAAACAAGTAGCTTCTCAACTCCAAGCTGAACAAATGCAAGGTCATGAGAACTGGAGGAGAGGACAGACCGGACACAGAGTACAGCATCGGTGGAGAAAAGCGGCAAATATCAGAGTGAAAAAGATCTGGGAGTTAATATAACACCAACCACATCACCAGAAAAGCAATTAAACTCTAAAGCAACAGCGGCATATATTAGATTTGCAAACGTAAGAAGAGCATTCAGGAACTTGAGTACAGAATCCTTCAGAACTTTATATACGATATACTATATTCAGCCAAGCAATGCGCGGCCCCAGCACGGAGCCCATTCCAGGTCAGGCACGCTAAGAAAAATTAAGAGGTCCTAATGTTTGCATCCAGGCTAGTACCAGAACTGGGAGAAGTACACTCTGAGGAAATATTAAAGGAACTGATCCTGATCGTTTTAGAGGAGAGAAGGAGAAGGGGAGATACGATTACTAAGTATAAAATCTTAAGAGGAATTGATAGGACAAATAAGGAGCAGTGTGGAAGGAGGGTAAGCGGAAGATGTAGACACAACAGGGATGTAAGGAAATATTTCTTTAGTCTCAAGGAGGTTGAACAGTGGAATGACTTGGATAAGGCAGTGACAGAGGGAAACTCGTACACAGTATCAAGAATAGATACATGAGGCCCAAAACGCCAGAAGTCAGTGATACCTATGAAAATAGCCAAAAAGGCGGGGCCAGGAGCCAAGTCTCTACCCCCACAACACAGCTCGGTGAGAACCCACAAACTTATAGATCATTTTAGCTGACCAATAAGAAAGAGAATAATAAAACACCTACAGAGAATTGGATTCCTAAGAGACTAATACTGTCTTAGGAATCTCAGACTTTGAGTTTCATGGGGAAAAAAATAAAAGAAATAAGCCGAGAACAGAGGGTATAGAACATTGCATTTGTCTCAGTACTACATTGTTGTTATAACAAGTGGAAGAACATGCAGGGGTACCAGGGAAGATGTTCATTTGCATACAGGAACACCTGGAGAACAGAGAACAGCGGCTACTGGTAAGAGGGTATTCCTAATGCAGGAATTAATAAACTCTCTGTATATATACGCTGAGCTAGTATATACTTCTCTATGTATAAATATCTCTCGTGTGTGTGTGTGTGTGTGTGTGTGTGTGTGTGTGTGTGTGTGTGTGTGTGTGTGTGTGTGTGTGTGTGTGTGTGTGTGTGTGTGTGTTTTAGAACCCGACAGTTTGAACTTTTCAGCAAGGATTCTGTTGCCAAACAAGGCGACTTTATAAAATTCTAATTTTTTACTCTATCTTCACAAATGCTAATCTGCAACTCAAATAAATTATATATATAACTGAAGATATAAAAAAAATACTACTAACAATAGAGTGACTATATGCGTCAGACTGCAACCTTTTTTTAGGTTAAGCAAATTTCAGCAATGCTAAATTGTTAATTTAGTTTTTTATACAAATATAAGAAAATTCAACTATATTTATTGACGTGAAAATGTCAAGCAATCAGTAATTATATTTTTTAAGCCAAAATTAAAAACTGTCGACTTACATGAGATCCGGACTACAACTCCACCGATATATATATATATTTTATTTATTTTTTTATTATCACACTGGCCGATTCCCACCAAGGCAGGGTGGCCCGAAAAAGAAAAACTTTCACCATCATTCACTCCATCACTGTCTTGCCAGAAGGGTGCTTTACACTACAGTTTTTAAACTGCAACATTAACACCCCTCCTTCAGAGTGCAGGCACTGTACTTCCCATCTCCAGGACTCAAGTCCGGCCTGCCGGTTTCCCTGAATCCCTTCATAAATGTTACTTTATATATATATATATATATATATATATATATATATATATATATATATATATATATATATTATATATATATATATATATATATCTTTTTTCTGTCTCATAAATATGCAAGATTACAGGTACGTCTTGCTACTTCTACTTACACTTAGGTCACACTACACATACATGTACATGTTTATTTATACACACTCAGATGAGTTTTTTTTTATTTTATCTTAATAGTTCTTGGTCTTATTACTTTTCCTTTTATATCCATGGGGAAGTGGAATAAGAATCTTTCCTCCGTAACTCATGCGTGTTGTAAAAGTCAACTAAAATGCCCTTTTCCTGTAATAATTACTAAAAAGAATAAGAAGAAGAAAATTGTCAAAGTGGGAAGTCTGAATGTGCGTGGATGTTGTGCAGATGATAAGAAAGAGATGATTGTGGATGTTATGAATGAGAAGAAGCTGGATGTCCTGGCTTTAAGTGAAACAAAGCTGAAGGGGGTGGGAGAGTTTCAATGGAGAGGAATAAATGGGATTAGGTCAGGGGTTTCAGATAGAGTTAGAGCTAAAGAAGGAGTAGCAATAATGTTGAAGGATAAGTTATGGCAGGAAAAGAGGGACTATAAATATATTAATTCAAGGATTATGTGGAGTAAAATAAAGATTGGATGTGAAAAGTGGGTTATATTAAG